GACACTGGAGTTTTTCTTGTTAAATGTCAGTGTTTGTTTGCGCTTGTAATCAATAAATTTGCTTTGAGCACTTCAAAACTTTTAATAAATAGCCGCCGTTATAAGACTGAAGATAGACGTATGCATATTCTGGATTGAGAGATAAAACCGCACAAAGCTCGTCATAGAGCAGCAGACTGCAAAAAAAAAAGAGAAAGTAGCTTTAAGCTGGTTTCATTTCCTGTAACTCCTAAGACAACAAGCTTCTCATAAAGCTTGGAAGTTACTAAGCCCTATCGATTCTAAACGGAAGCCTATTTAAAGCCTTCAATGAAAAGTTCCTGATCCAGGCAGCTAATTCAGCCTCTACCTCTTCACCGACTGACCGAATCAAATGATAATAAGGTTCAGATACTCGCTTGTTAAAGGGCACGTTCGCGTGATGCACGGAATTATCTGCACATCTCGGTTATCCATGCAAATGACCTCCTCCTCCTCAATCACGGTATTCTCGTCACGCGATGCGCGCTCATCGCATTGTTTCCCACGATCTGCCAACTCATTCGCATGCCACGTCGACAGGTGGTCGCGACTTGGTTATTTATGCTGACAGATGGATCGACACCTCTCTATTCAACTAATACCCCAACTGTCACCTCTTATAAGGCATCAAATTAGTACAAAACGCTAACTCGTCGACAATGAGGGGAAGGCTTTAGATCGGATTGAAGTAGTCGCGCAACATGTTTCGCATTATGTCCGTTGGGACAAGCATCTATTCGTCTTATTTCACTACCGAACAAATTCACTGAGGAGTATTCTAATCGATCTGCCAACGGGAGAGGACCATCATCTCCATTACACGAGTTACACGATAAGAGCGAAGGCATGAATTCTCTTGGGATCGAAGCGGGATTGATCCCAATATACGAGGAGTTCAGAAATATTCTCATTTCAGCAGAAACGTGCAGATCAGTGTAAAAATTACGCAACATCACCGTTTAATTCACTTTGGACTACCCTCTACAAAATATCCCAAGCGAAAAATCTCCAATTAATATGTCGCAATAATTCATCCTCCAATGTCCCGCGATGTGTAAACGTGTGCAGTAAAATCGACCAATAAATCACATCCCTACATCTCAAACTAGGCCTCTCTACGAGATTTTTAACTTCAACGGCTCTTTGCACCTGACGCAAATCTTGCACAACAAAGGCAAACCTCGTGGAACCAGTGGTATTGTGGTTTCGGCTTGCCAACAGCTCCACATTGTATTTTCGCATTTGCTCCCTCGAAGCCGGTGTTGTTTTCTGGAGCGTGGAAAACAGTTATGACTGGACGTGCTGTAAAAGGAAAAGTATTGTGAAGAAAAGAAAACTGAATCATGTTGAACGCACAATATCCGGTGACGTTGATGGCAAGGGTTTCGAATGAAGAGAACTGGGCTGCGTTGCACTTATAGATGCCATCGTCTTTCTTGGAATCGTACTCAGGAATCAAGAGGATTTGCCGATCGTTTTGAAACTCGTAACCGCGAGGTGACCCTGTGATACAAGAATGATAAGAAGCATTTCTTCTAGAGGGATTAATCAATACGATAAGACATGCATGGTGCCTCCAAGAATGCGCCGACAATATTCATACCAACGGTCTATGATGCAGAAATGGGCTCTAACTCGACCTCAGCTATCCCTCACCGTAAGTTGTCTTGCACATCGATTTCTCTTCTTGTTTAATGTGAGCAAACAAGTAGATGCAACAGCAAGTTTGCGGCAATGCTAGCAGCTTTGATCCTCTCGAAAACCTAACTACGCATTGTTTCGTAAACTACAGTAGCCGTCCTCCGCGATGTGAGCTGTATTCTCCGTGAGCATTTATCTTGTGTTCTTAGTCCTTTCACTTGTTCAACATACGGTACAAACAATTACAAGCGATTACTATGTGGGCAACGGTATCAATTTTCAAAGGCGCGAATTTGTCCACAAGGCAGAATTGGCTCATCCAAAACATCTGCCCAGAGCCGCATAGTAAACCTCGGCGCTACGTAACAAGACGTAACGACCGCAGATGTTGCGACCGCTCTGTAATCTCGCAACAAAAGGATTAGGCCCCCTCGATAGCTTGACCCTCTTTATGATGGTATGCATATGCAAATGCCCGAGACAGTAGGAACGAATGTCTGACAAAGAACGCTCGCAGAGCAAAGGCATTTCGACTTGCGTGTGCTATTGTTTAGACGTGGCCACTATTCACTTTCCTGCTTTCACGGACCATTACACTCTTGAGGTAGGCAAGCGAGCAAATTTAGCTGCTCGTGGAATTAGCTGTGCGAGGATTACTTTTCCGGCTACTATCCCAACAAAAAAAGGCACTTTGTATGCATAACCAGAAAAAAAAGCAAACGCAACGTAGACGCAGCTAGGCACGCATCCCGGCACAATACGAGATTGCGCAACAAAGACTCGCAATCCTGGATCGATAAAAATCGAAGTATTAACGGTAGACGCATGCATTAGGTCAGTTGATCGACCACTACTCCAACATAAGGAGAGAGAGCTACTTGGTCGCGAATATTCAAACCTCACCTTCTTCGAGAATGGTGCCATTGAACTGCCAAAAGACTTCTAGTTTTTCGGTCCCTTCAACAAGGCAAACAATCTCGGCCGTAGAACCCTCTTCAGGATGTTGTTCAGTTTGCGGATTGATAAATTTGGGAGGATCTGCAAGAAATTTATTTTCCAATAAAAGGCAAGATCTTGAACACAGTTTTCTCAGAAAATGGACTTTATCACCTCCATAGGAGAACATGAGAACCTTCACATTCAAATATAAAACGTCTCATGGACCAGGAGCAGGACACTTTCAAAGTAGCCCCACTTCCTGTCACCATACTGTTTACATACCCTACATTTGCAGCCTTGTTTCTCATCCACAAATTACGTGCGCTGAGCAACTA